AATTTGTTAGAAATGTTTCGCTACATCTAACACACAGTGAAAATCAAACTGCAAGTTCTTAATTTTTAATACCACAAAAGTCGAAAAAAATGTGTTTTGCTTATAAGCCACTCATATTTTATACAGAAAAATAAATGCCGTGTAACACTCAAAAAAAAAAAGTTCTGCCAATAAACGGTACCGTAGTACGCGTGCATGCCAGTATATGTAAGACATTCTTCTAGTATTGAGAGGATTACAATCCTAAATCCAGTACTTTATGGTTATACAAAATTCCTTTACTTTGTAGAGTATCCTCTTGAGGTCATATATAAATGGAAAATCCTCTGACATTAACACGGAACCGCTAAATTGGCAGAATATTTTTTTTTGGGTGGAAGTATATCGTTACATTAGAATCCATGTAAAATTGTTCGGAACGGAATTCCGTTCTTGATAAGAGAGAGAGAGGGAGAGAGAGAGGGGGGAGGGAGATATATATATATATATATTTCGAGATAATAGCGAGAGAAATATATCTATATATATATTTCGAGATAATAGCGAGAGAAATACGACATGTCAATGACGTCACTAATTCGTGATAACGTTCTACATATGCGGCACCGACATAATTACATCGTAATCTTCCGCGGTTAATCCTCACGGTTGCACATTGTGGATTTGGCGCGACGGTGCGGTTTGATTAAGCAATTTGTAAGCCATGATAAGCGTGCGACGATAACATTCCGAATTTTATTTTCACTAGCGTATTTATCTGTCCTCAGAGTTATAAGTTCAACTGGAACAATTGCTTTATCAAGAGAACATACGTAATTGAATCGCAAACTTTCGATTTACCTCGCATAAACACATTTTGCAGTAATTAAGCGAATTAATCGAATTTTTATTTAGCGTGGGACACGTGCGTGATACAAATTCTCGGATATTGAAAGTTACATAATCGCCCTATCAGTCGGAAACTGATCAAACAACTAACGGAAGCGTAATTGGAGAAATGAGAATTTGATACGATTGCCACGTGCATGGCAAACAACAAATGAAGAATTAATTACACGTAGGCGAGAAATCACGATACATTACAAAACACAGAGTTAGACATCTAAAACAATTGTATATATGTGTTTTAAAAATAATCATACATCATAAAAATTCAAACAATATTTCAAATAATAATTAGAAACAAAATTTTACAGATTTTTAAATTTTTTAACATTCAATTTAATTTTTCTAATGCATTTAATTTTGACTATTTTTTGTTATGATTTTTTAACAAAATGCATTTACTTTTTAACAAAAAATATTATGTGTGTCTTAAAAAGATAGTAATAATGCAAATAAATTCGCAGATTAAAAAAATCAGTTAGAACATAAAAAAATAATAAGAAAAAGGATCGACTCTAAATCATTTGCCAAAAAATACTTCTTCGCTTTAAATACGATTGTTTTTAAAGGCACTTGCCACCGTTAGTTCTCGCCTTAATCCCGGCCAATTAAAATTCTCTTGGTAAACTAATTAATTGTGTACACGGAACTTTATTGCGCTTCATAAAACGAAATGACGCAATGCCGTTTGGCCGAATAGTGTCACCATTGCAGCATCGATGCGCAGCAAAGCGAGACCGAGTTAATAACGTTATCATTTCTTGCGGGATTATTCGACGATAAGCTATACGCTTTCGCCAAATTAAATTTCGGCCAACTGATTAAACGACGCTAAAGGGAAAAAAAAATTAATTTATTTCAACGGGTGAGTTGCAATCGATTTTCGCTTTGGAACGATATTCTAGAAAACAAACTCAATCGAAGAAAGTATCGTTACAAAAGTTCTATTTAAAGTTTACTCTAACGCAATCAAAAGGTTCAGTATAACACTGCTCCAGCTCACTTCAGTTCAAGAGAACTCTCGAAAGATTATTTTTATCATTAACAATAACTTTCTCGAGTATTTCAAAAGATTAAGACCATTGTTGCATTAAACGCTTTAATTGAATTTGAAGTGTATCATTACCATACATTTCGGATTTTATAAATCTTTAACTCGAAGTGCTGACTAAATAAATGCTGATTAGCAAAGATTCAACATTTGGACATTGAAAAGTTAACTGAAAAGAAGCCACGTCCTCCCATATGACGAATAACGAACGTGATAAGCAACGAAGAATGATCGTAAAATTTGGTACCTTGTGAAATGGACGACCAATATCGCGATAATCATAAAATTCATGTGATACTTGTGATAGATAGAAAATATTGCGTTGTAATAAAAATGCTGTTAATATACAGGGTTTAATAATTCTGCTGACAACGCTCGTGAGCAGGTAGAGCGGACTAAACTGAGACGGAAAGTTCTCTACCATTTTGCAATTTTCTCAATAGTTAACAAAATATTAATTACTAAAATTGCCGAATATGGTCTCCAATAATGTTTTTCTCAAATACTATCAACTTACAAAAAAGCTGCAAGAGATAAAAATTGTTTATTTTTTTTTCATAGAATTCTAAGGATTTTTTATCAACTTTTTAATATTGTATTTTTTTTATACATATTGACAACTATTTTTACCAACATGAGAAAATACGATATTGAAAATTTTTTTAAAAATTCTCAGAATTTTATGAGATGAAAATAAGCAATTTTTGTCTCTCGCTGTTTTTCTGTAAAGTTTTTTTTGATAGTACTTGAGTAAAAAATTATTGAAAACCAATATTCAGCGATTTTTTAGTAATTATTAATATCTTGTTAACACACACACACACACACACACACACACACACACACACACACACACACACACACACACACACACACACACTATTGCGAAAATTGTAAATAGTAGAGAACTTTTCGACTCAGTTTAGTCCGTTCTACCTGCCCACGAGTGTGTCAGCAGAATTATCAAATACCCCTATACTTTTGGATACTTAAAATTGCGAACATATATTATTTCTTTATGGTAGTTGAAACATTACACACACACGCATAAATCTGCAATGTTTAAAATATAAATATCTGATATAATTTTATTGTCATCTTCGTAGTTTCATCTTTTTATTGCAATTTATTGCAGGTGCAAGTTGATATTATTAATAGCTTTTGTATGAAGATACCTATACTATATCCGTTTATATTATAACGTTCCTGTCCCTATCATCGATACGTCATTACACCTCATGTAAAAGGTAAACAGACTGACAGCTAGATATTATTGAAAACCGATGAAGTGTTAATAATTATATGACAAAGATTATATATATAATGATCTTCCTACCACACGTTACGTAATTTATCCATTTGCATAACTAATTCATGACATTGTTTCAGATCCATACAAAGTTCTGTGTAATAAACATATACATATGATATTATTTCTAAAAAATCCTACTCCACTGGATTTTAATAAATTCTAACTGCAATAATAAAATAAATTCCATTCTAGAATTATTCAAATCAATAATTAGTAGAGTAACATCGTGCATATAGTATAAATCCACCAATTGTTCTCGATTTGACACATACGTATCGCGTTTTTGTTGTTTTTTAATAATAATTAAAAATTTTTTTATTACTGAATTATCGCGAATTAAGTAAAAGAATTTTAATTTTAATTGCTCATAATTTAATTAAAAATCATTGTACCGCAATTCAAAAAATCAATTCTTACAGCTGCATCTTTGCTCTATCGAATGCCCAAATTAAAAAAAAAAATATGTAGACATTGTACAAATAAAGTAATTACACATTTTTACTTCGACAATTAATTAATATTTTGAATCACAAACTTCTAAGAATTATTTTTGTAGCTACGCCAAAAAAGAATTTTACTGTTGGAGGAAGCATCAATCTTCACAGCACATATAATTTTGACAACTCGCAGTTTCAACATTTCCCGCATGATTTACTTCGAGTGCGAAAACATTGAGTTAAAATATGCTATTTATTCCAAGCCGACCAACGGTATAAATATCGACGAGGTAAATATCGATGAAAATAGTATAGAATTCGTCGTTCGAAGCGGATTCCGTAAACTTCGCCAATTCGTATGATTCATCTGCGTATGATTTGTTTATTTTGAAAATCTATCTGGTGGATGCAATATTCTCGCTATTATCTGAGACACTGAGTCTGTCACGGACTGTCATTATTGTCAGACCGTAACAGACGTCTCTCGACACCGCTTGTTACCCACGTCATTTATCACAAGAGCTATCCCGACTAAATCTTGGCACGCTCGTTGTAGTACAGAATGAAAGAGTTTCATTCATAAAGTTCCGCTCAAATGTTTCCGGAAATTGTAACTGGTTGTGACATTCGCCAGTGTTTACGGAAGTCTAAGAGAAAGCTGTGTTTTGCAAAACTTTGCATCTCCGTATGCAAAGCACTTGCAAGATTGGATTAAGAAAAATAAAAATATCTAAGTATAAACTTGAATTATTGCAAAAAGTAATTTTTTAATACACCAAGATATGAAAATTGATTATCTCGATAAATAAATAGCTCAGGTTACTTTTAGCAAAGACGATATATATCATACATCCTCTTTATATTATTTTGCATTCGATAATAAAAGATAAAAAGACGATAAAACAGATATTATAAAAATGTTGTATGAAATGCTGAATGCATACAAATCGCTGTATCGTCTACCTGTTTGCTTCGGCTCCAAAATGATTGAATGGCTTGTTGGCAAGTCGAGGAAAGCGACCCGTAAGTTCTGCCAGATCTTTGCGGCGGTAGCAAGGATGGAAAGGATGCATTTCGCCAGTTATGTAACAGATTTGTTCTTTCGTTCGTATACTCCATAGAATGGAGATCGGTGTCAAATTCACTTCAATTAATCGCATATAATTACGAATAATGAGAAATATTCACGATGCGTTGCAGAGCGACTAATTAGTATTTTTTACACGAGCTGCATCCCGTTTATGCACGATGAATTCATCCCCGCATTAGCTGCGCTTCTGTTCCTTCACTAATTTTAATCGTTTCGCTTCTTTTGCATGCAGTACACGGTCATGTTCTCGTCCAATCCATCGCAAGTGCTAAAAAGCAGCTGAAGAGAATGGACTTTTTCTAATTAGAGGCACACGTGACATGTGAATACGAAACGTTTCGAACCGTCCCGATTCGACACACTTGTTGAATGTAAAATGATCATTTTGTCTACAAGATACCATTTCGTCACACGAGTTGGCCTGTCTGACTTGTTTATGCGATCCTTTTTCTCTCGGCAAATAGAAGCGACTCGAATCAGGTATGAGCTAAAAACGTTCAACGTGTGTCATCCTCGTTTATCCACGCTAGTACATTTCGCTGGCTAAATTTCCAGGGTATTATGTGCACAGAGAGACACGTCACACTGAAATCCGATCCATCGAGGGCAACATCGGCGTGTTATTGGACGCACTGTGTCGTAACAAAATGAAAAACCATATCGGCTTGCAAGAACACACATCGGAACGTCACGACATGCAGCACGAGATAATTCCTCTGCAAGATATTGTATTATCCCTCTCCTTAGAATTATAACTATCATCTATAAGCGCGAGCCCATTTGATTACACAAGAAACATGCAAAATAGACGAAATATCTGAACGGAAATATTTGGATTAAATCGCTTAGTTTTAAAGGACCGCATATTTCTGTCGAATTTGTCGTCACGCGTCGTGAACACATTTCTGTTCTGCATTCTACAGCCTGATATGGAATTCGGTGGTGATATAACTTCCAATCGCGGTATTCGCGTAGCGTCCTCGGGAAGACTCGTAAGCAGACTCGCGAATCATCCAAAAGTCTCGGAAGACTTCATTTGCGTCGCAGATAAGAGCTCGTCTTGTTTCTACGTGTCTACGTCAATCTTCCTCGCTCACTGCCGCATCCGATCTGCGGAGAACACTCTTCGCGAGGGTCACGGGGGATAAACTGTGAAAGAGCTTTCTCGTTACCCTCTCACACGCAGGGATTTCTCTCGACCACGGATGGATCATTGTCCGCGACGGTCATTAATCATTGCACGCGAATAAAATTATCACTTGCGTATATGGATCGCTCGGAAATCTCGAATAACAAACTGGAGCAACTGAGGAAGTAATTATAGCGATCGAAAAATATTTCGATTGATGACGGCAAGAAGTTTTGCAATTTCGCGTAAATTAACGTAAAATAAAAGGGTAAAGCACACCGCGAGCGATGAACCACTGCCGAGAAAGATACGAGATTCAAGGCGAACGTATGTACAACCGATTATCAATATCTCGAAGCCGCGATAAGGCGCGGCCATTTTTCGAGATATATTTTATCTTCAGATAGACGACGACTATAATGTAGAAGACTAATCGAAACGTAAAATTACATTAATGGTCTTAGAAAGAGCATAAATCTTGGAGAAACGTTAATAAAAACGTACGTTTAAACGAAAAAGTGGAGGAATAAAGTTTGAATGATTTTTTCGATCTTATATTAATAATTTTCAAAGCATTTTTCGATGCTAATTTCTGTCCTTACATTAAAATATTGTGATTGTATCTAATAATTTAAAAAAAATAAAACGTAATTTTTAAGATTAAAAAATTGTTTTATACGCATTGCCAGCAATGACGATGGTTTCGAATTATGTGATCTACCGAAATGACAAGACAAAGATTAGACTCGCATCTTGTAATAGCTCCTACCTTGTAATAACTATCGAATGCTAATATTGTGGCCAAAAATATTCTTGGCAAAGTATCATCAGTGACGGGACGTGAATGCTTCGTGATTCATGGCGCCACAATAATAAAATATTACGACTAGTTTCGCACTATTCGCAATCGAACGACAGATTGTTGGCCTGTGAGATTACAAGCGAAACTTTCTAATCGATCAACTATTCTTCTTATCAAGCATCTCGTGATGCGAAAGACTGCCAACGAATGGCGCTCAAAATCGTCAAACGATATCATTCTTTAGCCTCCGATACTCACCGATTTACGTACACTGTTATATATCAAAGGAGCAATGGTAGTTCAATCCTTTGAGTTAAAAAAATTTTATTTTTTACTTCATAAGGTTACTCATAATTTAAAAAATTTAAACATTTTATTTTTTTAACTTTCATGTGTACCCAAATCAATCTATTTCTGTAGTTAGTTTCAAAGTCAACACGTTTATATTAACATATATACTACTTGTAAATAAAGAATAAACTAAATTCGAATTAAATTTAATACATTTTTTTTAAGTTAAATTGTTTTATTCTATTTTAGTTAAATTAACAATTAAGTAGGAGCAAAACCTATAAAAATGATTAAAAATAACTCAAACTTGGGTATAATTTGAACTGTAAATTTTAAACAGCGTTTTTGACAGAACTTACGAAAGTGAGTGAATGAATAATAATTATCATGACTCAAAATATAAATACATAAACAATGCTTTCTAATCATAGTTGATTAACAGCATTAACTTTTATTAATTACGTTCTTTAACGAGATACACAGTTGTGTAATAAATGTTTAAAATTTGAAATAACAGAAAAAGAGAGATTGGCGGTGAACATTACAAGATAGTAATTTACAAGAATTCTATTTTTTTATATGCTTCTTTCTCATTTCAAAAGAAAATTGAAAATTAAATGAAGGAAAAATTTTCTTTAAAAAAAAAAAATAAAATTTAATTTAAAAAGTCTACAGAAATTAAAAGAATATTTTGAAATAAATACTACGTGACTTCAAAGAAGTCACAATTTTAGAATATTAACAGAGAATCATTAATTCTAAAAATATTATCTCTCTGTACTACACAAATGCTGAATCTACAATTAGAAAGAAAATTAAATGTCATTCATTAATAAAGTTACAATCGTAGTGTCGTGCATTTCGCATTTATCAAAATAATAATTAGCAATAATTACACTGAAATGCGACGCAGGTAGAATATTTTGAGATGCAAGTCGCGCCGCGACTAATTCTAATTAGCTAGAAAGTAATTTTTTTTTAATTAGAGTAAAGTCGCTCACGCAATGTCAGTCGTCTGAACCGGATATCCTGAATCAAGAACCGTGGCCTATTTTGGCGACAAGCGTCTAACATCTCTGAACGATGATAATGAAAGCTTTGGCAAGCCTCTAGCATCGTCATAAGAAACGGAGGAGACTCATTAATCAATGTCGTGCCCAAAACTTGTGGCGTACATTGGCAATCTCGAGAGTAAACCGAAAATAAACCTGCGGCTATCTAATTGCGAAGAGGAGACCGATATGCACCATGCAAAAGGTGCATGGGCAAATGCTCAAAACATATGTGATGACGCATTATTTTGACTAATTATGTTTTTTTTTCTAAAAAAAAAAACTTGATTCTGTGTGCATAATTAATACTGAAAAAAAAACAAGAAAATACAGCAGCAAGTGTACAAAGAGCAATTATTTTTTTCTATTTTCCAAAACTCATCTACAGCAGGAGTCTCTAAAACACCCACATTTACTATACATTTATAGTTGACACTTAAAGTTGCCTCGAGAAATCTAATACTAACTATGCGCAAATTACGCTTTGCGTACAATCGCGGCCGTCTTTGTCACGCCACTCTCTGATTTATGGTGAAAGCGCAGAGTATAACGCGGCGGTCGTCGGTCTTGATGGAAAGACGCTATTAAGCTTTATGCACAATGAAAAGCACAAACAGGAACAGAGAATAACAGATGAATAATCGATTGATGCATGCACGGAAAGAAAGTTTTGCAGAAATATTTAAAAAATTTATAGGTAGATATAGATCTGAAAATTTTTTGTTGAACTATCAAAATAATTTTATAGGATGCAGCTCAAATTGGTCACTAAAAAATTGTCGAAACTTTTTGCAGCATTGCTCATCATGCTTTCCTACTAATAATTATTTTGACGATTCAACAAGATTATTTCCAGATCTGTATTCAGCTAATATTTTAGATACTTCAGCAAAATCCTTCTTTCTGTAGTTTCCAATAAGTTGAAATTTTATCGCTTGTTTTATTCTCTGTTAATACATATAATTTTTCATAGATTGAATTCTTATCGTTTGTGTTATTCTCTGCCCCTGTTGCCTGTGTTTTTTGTTGTGAATAAGGCTTTAGGTGAGAGAACCGTATGTTTCGCACTGCTGAAAATGTGCTGCCAAAACGAAAGAACCCTACGTGATTCTACGCGATAATATGAATGACATAGCTTGACCCATTCAGCGATAGAAAATAGAGAGTGGGTCACTCGGAAAATGTACGGAACAATACATGACGCGTTCTGCTGGCGAGAAACACACAGTCGGACTGTGTAATTTATCTCAGTACGTAACAACAATAATTTTAGCAAATGCGCGAGACCACGCGATAATTGAATTCTTCGAAGTAGAAAAGTTGCTTGTTTGTTTCTTTAAACTTTTGGCATGCACTTAAGCTCCTGTTATATTACGGAGATCATATTATCAATAAGATTTGCCATACGAAAGAGTTTATCATCTGTCGTATCTACACAGAAAGATTTGCTGAAGCATTAAAACATTTAGTTAGATACAGATCTGAATTTTATTGAACATCAAAATAATTATGTAAGAACATTCAAACTGGTTGTTAAAATGTTGAAACTTTTTGCAGCATTATCATAATATTTGAACTGAATTATTTTGATAGTCTTACAAAATTATTTTCAGATTTGTATAATTTAGCTAAATTTTTAGATATTTCAGCAAAATCGTTCTTTTCATGTACACGTTTAATAGAAGAAAAAATTTTAAGTTACATTTGTATCAGAAAATTTTCTGATTAAAAATAAATAAATCAGAAGATTCTGATCATATCAATCAGAATTCTGATTATTTCAACTAAAATTTCAATTATCAGAATTTCAACTTTTTCCAATGTATGTACACACAAATTACTGCAGTACTTCGTGTATCTTTACATTAGACATCTAATATATTTTAGAAATAAATGTACAATTGTACCAAATTTTTAAAATAAGGGATACAATTCTCGTTATGTGACAACAGTCTCTAATGAGATATTTATGAGAAACGAGCATTAATAATAATAGTGTGATATTTCTCCAAGCAAAATTACCTCATGGAACCGATGCTCCAGACGATGTACGATGTTTTGAGGTCGTCCTTTCAACAGAGAAAATTGATTTCTGCGACATTCTCCTGTCCCAGTAACGTGTTTGTAGGTCTTGTCACTGAGCGCTTTGCTCTTCGTTCGCAAATGCGACATTTCGAGGACGATACTTTCTCGACAAACGATTCGGATCGTTTAAGTAAAAAGATTCATTTATCACTTACAATCGTCCCGAAATCGAATTATTTTAAATTTTTACACTTTTTATTCGCGCTGCAAATAAACCTCGATTTTGAAATTTTCGGTAGCAGAAGGAGTAGCCATTCCCATACGTATTCGTAACGTGGCACCGTTTCGGGTTTATCACACTTCAAATAATAACGTTGCACCAGACGCGTTCATCTCAGTTAGCTCATAATTGCTTGATTAATAGCACGTTCGATGAAGCGGAATTTAATGTAAAACGCAACTATGCCGTGCCAAGTGCGATTCTTGGAAGATCACTGTGCACTCGCAAGAACGCAGGACTAATCATACGTTGCATTCGTTTCCTTGACTCTCTTCTCAGTAATCTCAAGGCTACAAGGATCTCAGTAATCTCGAAGCGTGGTACGTGATATCGTCCATTGTGCATGTGTCATGACTGTCGCGTTTATGGAAAATTACACACACGGAAAAAACGACTTTTTGCTAAAGTATCTAAAAATTTAGCGAGATAATTTTGTTAGAATGTCAAAATTTTTTTGCAACATTACTTTTTATGTTTGAACGTCCTACATATTATTTTGATGAACCAACAAAATTATTTTCAGATCTGTATCTAATTTAAATACTTTAGCAAAATTCTTTTCGTCCGCAAATATCGATCGCGTAAAGCTGTAACTGGTAAAAATTTAAAAAGCAAGGAACGCATCCTTGAGGCTTGCTATGATGACGGTAATCGGAATCATAATGTTAACAGATCATTAATTATCCTCCATATCCCTATTATTTTTAAATCAATTAATTGAAACGATTTATTTCTCTTGTCCTTATTTTATCAATAATTTTTTTATATTATTACTGTATCATTGAGATGATCAAATAGATGAAGGATATTTCACTTTGTGTGATGATAGATCAATAAGTCTAGAACATAAGCTTGGAATTTATCTAGACGTTCTTGTGTGAAGTGTTTGGTAATAAAATTTATATTACGTTAGATTAGATGCGTATATCTGTCACCAATTACATCGAGTCCTTCGGAAGAGTCGGGATATACTACACTCTCGTATTTGCGCATTACTGTCAATCGCATTCTTGCAAAGATAACGATTGTCACCATGGAGTAAGGCAATAAAGCAGAGTGTTACTTTTTACGATTTCCGTCTGTTGCAAAACGAGCAAATAGAGTTTTCTCACGTAGCTCAATATAATTTTTGACATTTTACACAGCACACTTTATCTAAGGGATAAGATCCTGGAACATCTTTAGAACATAAAAACGTTCTTCTGGATGTCTTTAGGATCTTCCTTAAAGATCTGTGCTAAGAATGATAACGATCACTTCGACTATAATAAATATTCCAAATATACATACGTAAAAAAATGAGAAATTATCAATCAACAATTTCTGCAAATGATCAATAACGCGAACCGATTTCAATAATTCACGACGCGATACTGACGAAGTAAAGACGCAATTAAGCGGATGACTCTAAAGTAAAATTATCCTGTCAGAGTAATCAAGCCAATCGACGTAATGATCGATTGCACGGAAGGATCGATGCGATCAGCTGATTCACGCACTATAGAATTCGCGCTTTCACTGACTACACTACCGGAGAAGAATGAAGGTAAATGTGCGTTTGTAAGTGTGTTTGCCAACGCTTTTGCACGCGCGGTTTATCTTCTCTTTGATGGTTATTTATCATCGCAGCCCGACACATATCGCTCCTTTTTAAGTACCTGATAAGCAGTCAAGTTTCTGCATCTGACAATATGTGCAAAATATTTTTGGCCAATCAATAATAAAAAACTTAGATTATATTATTCATTTTATTATATGATGTTCTCAAAAATGCTTTTAATATTTTATTTTACTATATTATTATTACTGTTTTCGAAATAATAATAAATTAAAATAAATTAAAAAATGTTAATAAAAATAATCTTAAATTCTGATATACATTTTTTTATTATTTCAATTGTTTAAGGAGTTTATGTATTATATAATATACAAATATTTGTATATAAGCTGTGAAATATTTATGTTAAATATAAGATAGCGTTGACTTACTAAATTCTTTAAAAATGCAGAAACTAAACGAGATAGTACAGCGCATACGGAATGAGGTTCGTTATATAGGTGATGTCTTTTCATAGCAATGTCGCATTGATTTTATTTTAAAAATTGACAGGTTATTTCATCGGAAACGTTGACATTCCTGTTGGTATGCGTGCCGCGAATTATTTTCGCACTACGCGGCATTGAGTGTTTTGCGAGAAATAAATTGGGCAAATTCAGGCCACACGTCGCGAATATATAGGACGGAAAAACGATCGAACAGTAAGAAGTCCGAAGCACAAATTTTAAAACTTACACCGCCGACTTGCAAATAATGTCCTTGTTGTGATAACGCTAAATGACTAAATGCGTCACGTCGTATTCATTAACAGTCTATGTAACTGTTCTGCATTGTCTATATTTCGTTATCATAGTATAATTATAACTTAAAAGTTTTTATTATTTACTTTATTACCTATTTCCTTCCGTAAAGATACCAAAAGATCAATTTTGTGAAATACGATTTAGCTTTGAAATCTCCAGAAACATTTCATGATTAAATCTAATAATATAAAAAATAAAACTGAGAGCTAAAATTATGAAAGTATAATTTCAAGACTTATCATCCCACTAGAGATTAGAAACGCTTTGAATTTTCGCAAATAAAGAAATCTATCTCTGTGCTATCTCTGAAAGAACGTTAATTAGGGATTATACATCTAGAGCGATAGATTTACAAAGACAATAGTGAGATATCTTCCAGTCATTTTATTGTAATGGCAAATATGGCAAAATCTAAAATTTACCCCTTGTCTAGGAATCACAAAAACGATCGTGAGAACTCCTGCCGTCAATTTAGTTTAAGGGCGCAGTAGGACAGTCATCATAAACCACGGCAAAGTAGATCGAGGCCAAGGATCGAAGGCTTGGGCTTTTAATCATTCGTTAAACGAAGCGATATACGTCACCGTCGTTAGTCACGATCGTCACGATTCCTGATGTCACGCAATTTGCAAAAACGTCAGGAATTGTAGGATTTGCAGAATCGAAGAGCGTATCGTTAACGAGAATCTTTTCGTGGACGATTATTTATACCCTGCCTGATATCACTGGAAATTTTCTTAACTCGAAGGATCTTGCATTAATGACACGTTTTATCGCATCTAAATATAGGACCTTTCATACTACGTGCCTTTCTATCAATCATAATTTCATTATTGAAAGAAATACCATATATTCATTAGCGAAAGGAACACCATTTACAATCCCTTTAGAAAGAAATTCACACAGTTGTCACAAAAAACATCACTGCACATCGATAAATACGATATTCAAATATCTAATTTATTTATTTATCAATTTTTTTAGGTTTTTATTCACTAATTTCTCTCTTTCATTATTTTCAATTTGCTCTTCACGTTCTTCGCTGAGAAGTATCACCGAGCGAGAAATATAAGCGAACGTATCTTGTGCACTGTATGGCGAAATCAGGACGGTTAGGACGAAGAAAACCGCAGATTGATAACGATAGTTTGATCGCGCGGCTGGCTCGCTCGACGCTCGCACGATGCCGAGCGGCGCAACATCCTTCGCGTACTGCGGTCGAGAGAACAATTGACCGAGGTAACAACACCTGACATTCGCGTGGGCGATCCACGTGGACGGGGCCGTTCGCCAGGTGGTGCGAAAAAGAAAGAGAGGGAAACACACCGACGACGTCAGGAGGACGTAGGAGAGCGAACGTCGAGGAAGACGTTGCCCTTCTTTATCTCTATTATAATAAACATCTGGATGCGTTCTTTAGAAGATATCTATACATCTTGATTTATTAATAAATTTTTATATATAATAGTTTATTATCTCCACATGAAGCACCTCTGCTTGAAATGCCATTTTCACAGAAATAATTGACTAAACATTAAGATAAGATTGCATTTAATATCAAGAAAATAAGAGTCATATTTAACGGTAGATTCGTAATGAGAATATAAATATAGAAATCGTGTGTGTATATGTAATGCATATTGTGTTTTTAATATCAGGATTCTCGTATCAAAATCTGAACATGCAATAAAAACCTGAGTTGTGAAGCAATATTTTTTTTAATGCTTTTTTTAATCCAATCTAATAAATACAACAAAAATTATAAATTATTTAGTATGTATTAAATATAATAAAGATAGGAATTATAGTAAAGATATCGACTAAATTTTTCCATGAAAAATATTGTATAAATATTGTATTAATATTATAAATTTGATATAACTATTTCAGTATTTTGCCCGCAGAACATCTTTACAAATCACATTTGGCAGGATCATTATCTGTCAGAGAAATCTTGTTTGAAAGTTGGTCAAAGTTTTCGAAATGTACCTTATTTATTCCGTTACTCGCATAATGCAGAGAATAAGTAATCGAGGACTCAAGAATTGCGCGCCAAATAAGTATGAACAGCTGATCGCTGAATGGCATCAGCTGTGCCAGACTAAACAAATGTCGATGAACAATGTAGCATCACAAATGTGTATTTACGGCGAGAAATTGATAACGGTACGAGATGTAAACGGCTGCTAACAACAATTTACGAGGCGAAATTTTATTATCCGAATAAAGAAAGAAAAAGAAAAAAGTAAAGAAGAAGATTGATTAAATTATATCGATACAGAACAGCAACAAACTTTTTGCAATCTCTATGTATACGAAAGAAAGAGTAAACCATTAATTAAAACTTAATTAATTTTGTTTTAATAACAAAGTTCAATAAAAAACACGAACGGTAATTTTTAAATAAAGAAAAAGGCAGGTCTGTGAGTCCTACTTGTTTCAGAGAAATGTAATTAAGATAATTATATAAAGATATTACTTGTACCACAATATTATTTACGCAAAACGGCATAATGATACTCGCTGTACTACTATATCTAAAGAAGTAGTACATATTGAGAAAACCTCGATTGATAACAATAGCATCAGCAATATATAAAAAATGTACGAGCCAACAAGCTCGACCTATTTACTTCTGACAATAGGGAAAGATATATGCGAAATGTTGTTTTTCTCATCAAATTTTTATTTCACTTTCTCAACCCGGAATTATCAACGAAACGAAAGAAATTTGACTCGCTCGCAAAATAGAGCTATGTACTATCAGCTCGGTGTGTTTCGCGATTTGTAACATTGCTTAGAAAAGATGATCAATTTCGAAAGTATTTACCAAATTGGGATCTACGGAGTTGAACCACAATCTAGGATCCCACATGTTCCATTTTAGAGAGATGGTCTTATTGTTAGATTCGAATTCCGAGTCGTCTTCGTACAACATTCTCCTTCGCGCGACAGACAGTTTTGTATATTACGATTTCGACGACTAACTAGAGCCGTATGTCATCCGATTTATATTTACATACGATCGCTCGGCAGGCTTTGTCGTATTCGGCACGCGAGGTTCGCATGAACCAGCGGTTCTCAAGTTATACTCCAAGTGTGAATGCGACAAACGATTGCGTACAATTATGTCACAATAGTAAAAGTAAGACGATTTGTCTCGTCTAAAAATAGTGTCTTTGCATTCATTTTACCAGGGTTGGTAAAGAATAAAGATTAATGTTTTTTTTTAAGAATAAAACATATTGTGTTTCTTCTTGAATATGTTTTTAATGCTTCAAATACGCTTTGAACAGTACTATAAACAAACATATTAAAAACATCAATTAAGCAGGTTTTAAACTGTTTAAAAGACGTTTAAAACGTGTTTTTTACCAACTCTGCATTTTACTTCGTAATAAAAAAATTCAACATTCGAATGCAAAATTTTGATAATATCTACAAACGTGAAAAGTATTACCTTATTTATTTTTTATTATATATCTTTTATTTAAAAAATACTTATTGCTCCATAATGCTACACAATATGTTTTATATTTAATTAACGCTTATTGCAATAAGCCTTTTAGTTAACGATTCTTTTAGCTAAATTCTGCACTGAGAAAACTTTCTGACTAAAAAATGAACCAGAAGATTCTTATTACATCAATAAAAATTCTGGTTATTTCAACTAGATTATAATAAAACTATAAAAATTTATTCAGAAAATTCTAATTTGTCCATTTTCAATCTGAATTCTAATTAATGCAACCAAACTCTTTTTCCAGTGTGTTCCTTTGCATTTGTGTGTTTTTCTAGACAATACATTACTAAATATTCAAAATTATTAATTCTACGTCTATCTGCACTCGCTAATTTTGCTATGACTAATGAAAACTACCAGTTTTCCATAGTTCGTGTATACAACTTACACTCGATACTTCACATCGGTACAAATCAATCGACGTGGAGTTTGAGAAAATACTCGTATATACAAGTACATATCTACTAACAATCATTCTCATTGATTTAACGATCATCGATTGGAGCGTAAATACCAATCGCATTATGCAATTTTCTTGGAACTTATCTACATTCTATTTATGCAATCAATACATCGTACGACGTTTCTACATGGATGAAGCGTGAACATAAATATCAGTATTAATTTTATGCAAATAGATCAATTATATACAATTGTTGAGTTCGATCACATTTTTACAATATTATCGGTAATTATTTTTATTGTTAACTATATGATAAATATTAACTAGGGATAATTATATAGCAAATAATCATTAACTGGTAGCAATTAATTATTATGTCAAATTAACACAATATTTTAATTTATAATAAATATTCACAATAATTATTATTCAACTTATCGAATTTTTCGCAACTTCTCAAACTTTAAACTAAAAATTGTAATAGCGTTATAAAAATTGACGCTAATAATTGAAGCGTGCAAATTAGATTGTATAAATATAAATAAATCTCTTAAATTAATATTTTTGACAGTGAATTCCAAAAAAGGAATTTTTTGTTGCAAAATTAAAATTCTTACATTTATTTATTATTATAATTACTTCCGTTAAAATATTTCTTTTCATCTACACGTAATTGAATTAACTTGCATATTGGTCGAATAAATGCAAAAGCAAGATGATGACTTACCAACTAAATGAAAGAGCGTTCTCTCAAAAGATTCGATGCCGTCATGAATAATAAATAAACCTCTTTCATGTGCCTGAAAAAATGAAAAGAGATTTAAATAACTGTTCAGAAAGTTACATGGCATATCTAAAGATTAAACAATAATCATCCTACATTTACCAATAATTCACAATATTACACTAACAACAAAAGATACTGAATTTTAATAAATAATTGTTTAAATAATATTAATATAATCTCATACAGTACAAAAGCTTGTAGCAACATTACTGCAACGTTTGCAATGTTATTACAATATTTCTGGAACGTTGTAACATTGTTGCAATATTACTGGAATTGTCTGTGCTGTATGGGTAACATTTATTTACAGAAAATAAATATTTATTAAATAAAAAATATAAGAGTTGAGTCAAATTAATCGTTCTTGTACTAAATATAAATATATATATGTTTACATTTAGTAAATATTCAATTGGTACTATTTAAATATTTATTATTTAATATATACAGTCTTCTGTCAGTGTAGATATTAGGACAAATATAATTTACAAATTTCATTGTATTCTCAGAATAAATGCTCAGAACAATATCTCTCTCTTCGTGCTCCTCTTTCCCCTTCCTCTGTTCCCTTCGCCATTTTTACTATTTCAAAAAGAATTTACGCCTAGCGATGAAATAATTAGCCATTTACTTAAATCTAATCTTTATTAAGTATAATTAAATAACACTCAATGACATGAATCATGAATAGCGTAACATTTTGATTTGATACGCTCATTTCTAGAAGATGACACTTGTCATCAGGGAGACAGACAATTTCCTGTCACTGCAACGACGCAGTCATTTCTAACTCGTTTTCTTATCAGAATATGCAAAACGTTCGCAAAAGACAAAGATGCGTCCGCGTAGGATGACGTAAGTAGGCGAGTATATATCTTGATTCATCGCGTCTCCCCAGGGGAGACGAGACACAAAGGAGCAATGTCGCAGGAACGGAGCTGCGAGATCCTAACCTCACCTGGGCAGAGGGATTCCCCCGAGGAGTCCACCGCTCTCCAAAGCCGGCGTCGTCCCGCGTCGCGCGTTACATAAGTGAGCCACAGTTCCCGCCCGCGATTACATGTTTTATTGACACGTTGCAAGGCCGCGCAGCGGCGACGGAGGAAGACGATGACGACGCATCCGCAATATAACAAAAGAGAGAATCTCACACCGTGCGCAAAGACATGTCCATTGTCTATCTTTCACGCCGCGTTATGCATCAGTGCCACCGTCGTCCGCCAGGCGGCACAGGTGGCGCGCTCGATCAGCTGATCGTCCCGCGCACGTGCGCCGCACTTTCTCTGCACTTCAAATATATACACATGTATGTAACAAATGTATATACAAATACTACAGATTTGGAAAATACACAAATAGATCCATATTTAGGCCTTCGTTATTAGCAACTCGTGGCAGGTAAGGATAACAGATTCATTACATTATTGAGCGCTTTTAATTAAGCCATACTTTCTGTACATTTCTGCGTTCATTCTTTCTTGCATTCTCGTTTTGTTCTAAATATTTTTAAAAAAATCTCTTTTTTAATTATACTGTTTTTCTTTATTTCTGAAGTGCTAGAATACAATTTCTTTAGAGCGCTAGAACAAGATGCAGTGATTAAAAGAGATGTGTGTTATTGGCTGGATATAACCTTTTAAAATATATTCATGTTTTGACACATTGCATTGGTAAAGGAAGAATAACACGTTTTGCAGACTTTCAGTGTTCCTTCGACTTGAAAATATTTAGCAGTATCTCGTAATCATGACGACGACGCTGGCATTACCGCAAAAGAAATATTATAGACAACGTGCGCATTCGAATCCAATAGCCGATCATTGTATCGAATAGTGAGTAGTTTTCCATACATTTTTCGTTATAACAATTAATAACTAATTATAGTTATAAGATTACAACAATTACCATTACCGTTTGCCATTTATTCATTGCAGCCCGATAAAACCGGAATTAATGGATTGGAGCACCTTATATCCACAGTATTTTCGGAGTAACGATGAGCAGACACTAGAAACACAAAAACGTGTAGAATTTGCAGACGTTGGTTGTGGCTATGGAGGATTGCTAGGTAATTTGTTCCTTCTTTTCTCTTTAATATATTTAATTTAATTTATTACATATACAAACAAGATTTATATGAATGTTAAATGGAAATGAAAAAATGTATACATAAATTGTGAGGTGACAGAATGTCTATTGTTTTAATTTCTATCAAAAAATTTATAAAAGAATGTAAAAACCATAAAATCAAAATAATTGACGAATTAATCCTCAGTTACTCTGTCACCAATGTTCCCGAATAATTTGATACTCGGCATGGAAATCAGAGTGAAAGTATCAGACTACGTTATGGATCGCATTGCTGCTTTACGATCACAAAATCCTGGCCAGTACCAGAACATTGCCTGTCTAAGAACAAATGCCATGAAATACCTGCCAAATTATTTCTATAAAGGACAGGTAAATAGAAGGAATTGTTGATATACATTAAAGGATAGAATAGTTTACACATTAATCTGTACCTTTTTATTTGTGTAGCTAAAGAAGATGTTTTTCCTATATCCAGATCCACACTTCAAGAAATCGAAGCATAAATGGAGGATAATAAATAAGTCTCTGCTGGCAGAATACGCTTATGTTTTAGCCGAAGGAGTATGTATCGTTTATACTTTATATTATTTCTACTTACCGAATTTATTATAGGCTGGTATTCATAATCTAGTATTCATAATCATTCTTATTTTAAGGTCATCTTAAGTAATGTTTTAAGATGATAATATGTGTGACTCTGAGATTGGTTTATGACATTCTAAGATCATACTTAAGATCATCTTAAATATAAGAACAGGCTATGAATATCAGCTATAATATTTGTTATATATTACTTCTACAAGAATTAATTTTTTAAATTATTACATAGGCTATTGTATATACTGTAACGGACGTAGAAGATCTACATAAATGGATAGTTCAACATTTCCAAGAACATTCACTGTTTGAACAAGTTACCAAGCAGGATTTGGTAAGTACAACTGTTTTTATTTCTTTTTTCTTTATGGTAACATCGACAAATTTTATCGAGACAGGCAGCTGATCCTGTAGTGGAAAAATTATATGAAAGCACTGAGGAAGGTAAGAAAGTCACCAGAAACGAAGGAGACAAATTTCTGGCAGTGTTCAGGAGGATCGTAGATCCTTATATTGCAACGAATAGCTAGCAGCAACAATTACATATAATTTTCCAGCTATTGTATATAATTATACAGCGAAGGATATTCTGGAGGGTACTAATTCTGATTCCGTAGAAGTGGATTTGTCTCGTAACAACGACGTTTCTAAAATGAGTTGCAAGAAATAAGAAGATTAATGATTATTTTTTTAAGATAAAATATATTTCCTAATATATCTATACATATACCTCGTCTAATTGTCTTTTTCCTGCTCACGCTAGGTACCATGTTCAAGTAATCTATGTGTCTAATATCTGTGTGTTGAATTAAATGTGTAGTCTTTAAAGCGAATTCTTCGTGCATTATGACGAATAACATCTGCAAAATAAAGGTAATTAATGTTCTTTTGATAGATATTGAATCCAATTCTTTTGAAATTTCAACCAAGGAAATTCGGCATATTTAAAGTAGATATATGATAAATTTAACCGTAACTATACACACTGGAGTCCCAGTGCAAGTTGCTAACAAAAAATAAAGATTTTTTGTTTTTTAAATGTGATCGTTCTGATCGCAGAATGATTTTCTAACCATTTTTTTTATCAATCTGTTTATTGATCTTTTAGTGGCATTGCTGGTACGGAGGGCCAAGTTTTTATATGCTTTTGACTAATTCTACAATGTGCTTTTTGTTTCCTGTTTCTTGCTGTTTGTCTCTTGTCTTTTTGATCAAAAAAGAACGTGTGCCATATCCCACAGTGTTGCCGACAATCGGCAACGCTTATCAACTCCAAGAAGATAAGTCCTAGCTGGTAACTTCTCTATACCACACTACCACAGGCACAATAGAGAAGTTACTAGCTGGGACTTATCTTCTTGTGTGCAGTTGAGTTTGATAAGCGTTACCGACAATCAGCAACGCTGTGGGATATGGCACGTTCTTTAAGGCATATAAAAACGGCCCTCTGTACCATCAATGCCACTCAGAGCGTCACAATAGACGGCCTCTTTTTTAACATCCCCTCCTTTGTTTTTGGGCCTTAGGTATACTCTCGGTGGTTTACCATTGCCTTCCGAGAGGAGATACGAGCGTATAATGAAAATGTTTATTTTTTTTTGTGTGTCACCAGGAATCGAACCCGGGATCTCTTGATCTCTAACATTGCAGACTAGTGCGCTGTCCGCTTTGCCACGCTCGCTCCCGGGCATAAAATCCTACCTCTTCAAGTATATGAGTAATTAACGCTCGTGGCGGCGAAATGTACGATCTCTGTATCAGTCTTTTTCTTTCGTACAAACTCATTCTAAATTGCGAGTAAAATAAATTTGATTTTTCCCGTAAAACGTCTTGCATTATGTTTCTGAACAGTTTACTGTTGACTATTTCCCTAAAATGTGACGAAATGTATCATTAAAACACACATATTCATTTTATAAATAAATTAATCTACTCTGTTCTTGCATATTATTATAATATTTGGAAAGTAAGTAATTTACCATAGTAGACCTTCTATAATAAACGAAGACCGACTAATATCTTTTTTCCCGAATGTCGTTCTCTCATTTTCCTCAATGCATATTCCTTTTGGTGGCGCACTTGTCAATTCTTTTATTAGACTAACTTTCAGAAATTTGTCTTCTACGCTATAGATAGAACATTGAATTGTTATGGCTTTGTAAAATGGCTGAGGTTTTTTCAAGATTTTCACCGGTAATTCCTAGAGGCAAAAGAGTACATAAATTTAAAAAAAAAACTTTTGTTTTTACATAAGACGGACTTCCTTTTCTATGAGTTTTATATTAAAACTTTCTTAAATCATTTTAAAGTCTTAACATTTTGCGAGAGAAATTTATATATTTTATTTACTGGAACGCTGATGCCTTTTTCCGTAATAGTAAACTGTCCTTTCAGTTCCTGAGACAAGCCTTCGTGAATATATACACTTCGTTGATAGATCCGTCTTTGGCTAGCATTAATAAACTCACACGGTATATCAATATCAATCATGCAAGGATAGCCTTTAGTATATATAGTTACACAGAAGCTTTTGACAGACATTGGCTTTATCAAGCCTTTCGGCGGATAAATTTCCACGT